ACACCTCGTGATCACACAGGCTGGTGTGACTCTTCCATGTGGGCTTTGTTGGTTTTCAACTGTCATATCTTACAAAGTCTCACATCTCCCTTCACCTGCTTGTTTACCTTCAGGGCTTTAAGAACCCAGATGCTATATCTTTTAGATAGCTGGACTCCACCAGCTTTCTTCACCACTTTTGCTTATGCTCCCATTTGTCTTCTGCGATCGTATTGGGAAGGTGAGCACACAATGATATGATTTTTTTGTTCTTTGATGCCTGATAACCTTTCCCTTTGGCACCTCGTGGTCACACAGGCTGGTGTGCTTCTTCTATGTGGGCTTTGTTGCTTCTGAGCTAGATGGCTGCTTGTTTACTTTCACGTCTTTAAGACCCTAGATGCTATATCTTTTGATGGCCAGGCACCATCAGCTTTCTTCACCACATTTGCTTATGTACCCGCTTTGTCTTCAGTGATCATGTCGGGAAGGTGAGCATTATGAAATGCCAGTTTAATAGAACAAAGTATTCTTGCATTGAGGGAGTACTTGACTGGAGGCCCAATGTCCATCTGCTACCTTAATACCAAATCTATAAATATAGGCTCATAGATCTATTTCCTAATCCTCATATATAAATATATTTACATGCGTGCACACCTTTATTTAGACCTCTATAAATGCCCTTTGCCTCCTAGTTCTTTCCTCTATTTCCTTTGACTTTCCTCTTGTCCCACTATTTTGCTCAGCCTTCATTTGGGTTTCAGTAAGTCCTCTCGGTTACATTACCCTTGATCACGCCCTACCTGGCCTCCTACACCACCCTCACCACCGATTTGGAACACTTGTTCCCTTGTCCTTGGGTTTGTTACCACTTCCTTTCCGTCCACTTCCCCCTCTCCCATGTCCCCTCAGAACTGTCGGCCCAGTTGTTTTTTCCTCCAGGTTGTTCATCCAGCCTAACTTATTTAGACAGACCTGCGGAGATAATAACATGCACAAAAACAAGACAGAGCAAATCAAAGGAACAAAAGAAAACAAAAACAACAAGAACAACAAAAAGCCAATGACTAAAACAACAACAACAAAGAAAAGCTTGTAGTTAGTTCAAGGACTGTTTGAACTAACTTTAGGAGTGTTTTCCGGTCCAGTTAGATGGGGTGCCAAGCCCTGGCCCCAAAGTCTATTTTTCATATTCCCTGGGGACATCGTTGCTGTTCCCCTTCTGTTCTGTTCCATGCCTTTAGTGTTTTGCCTCTGTGTGGTGGGATCAGATCGGGCGCAAATCCCACACTGTGTCTCCAGTGTTGTCCACTGTAAGGCTATGAGTCAGTGCTTGAGAGCTTTTAAAACCACAGGCACTACATATTACATTAGGAGGTGGAACAGGAAAACTGAGTAAGTTATTTGAAGAATTAACTGGTATAATTATTCCCATAAAAGCTAGGGCATAAACTTCCAAAGCAAGAAACTACATCTCAAGATGTTTTGCGATGTGCATAAAGCAACTTCAAGAGTTACTTTTATTTTTTTCAGGAGCTACTTTACTTTTATAAAGTTGTTGTAAATATGTCTATCACACAATGTTCACCAATTCAGTTTTTTACTGGTGTACAATTTATTGACAGCAATTACAATCATCAATGGTATAACCCCACCATTAATCAGCATTAACCAACCACCTTTATTCCCACCCATTTTTCTTCTTGCATCTCATAACCACTAACAAATTTTGTTCTCTATACATTTGCCTTTTTATATAAAACAAACAAAATACAATATTTGCCCTTTCATGCTGTTTATTTCACACAGCATAATTTCTTACAGCTTTATAGGGATTGTAACATATATCATGGCTTCATTTTTTTTTTTACTGTATATGCATGTACCAAATCTTATTTCTCTCATCAATCCATTGATGGATAATTATTTTGTTTCTATCTTTTGGCTATTTTGAATAATGCTGTAATGAACAAATACCTGTTGAGCCTGGACTTTCAAGTCTTTTGGGTATATACCTAGGAGTTATGTTTCCAGTTTTTTGAGGAGTCACCATAATGTTTACTCCAACAGGTATACCACTGTGAATTTCCACTAGTGTTTTTCCATAACCGTACCAACATTGTTTTTCTTTTATCCTAGTGGGAGTGAAATTCTATCTCCTTGTGGTTTTAATGTTTTGATAGCTAATGATATTTGTGGAATATCTTTTCATTACTATTACTAACAAATTTTATAGGCTATTTGAATATCCTTTTTAGTGAAATATCTATTCAAGTCCTTTAACTGTTTTATAATTATTTGCCTTTCAGTTGTATAGTGGTTAGAATTTTACATATATTTTGGTTATGATATCCTTGTTGGACAAAAGTCTTTTGATGAAATAAAGTTTTGTTTCAATTTTGAGATTTTAAAAATGCAAATAAAAGAATTTGTACTCAAGTTGAATCTTGTATTTCCAAGCCTTTAGACTACTTTGCTGTTGCTGCTTTGCGCGTTTGCTGGGACTTTTAAAAACATTTCCCTCTAGTAACCATTTTCCTGCTTACTTTCTTGGCTGATATTCTACACAAAGAGCCGAACAGCATCTATCCTCAAGGGAAGTGTTATTTTAGATTTTAATAAGAAGTCAGTTACAATTTTCAACATTCCTTTCTGTTGCTGTCTTTGTTTCAAAGAAAGCTCTGAATTTCATTTTCAGCTGAACTTAAATGGCACCAAGGAAAACCTACTTAGTTTAGATTTCAAGGTAAAATTTTTTTAAATGTTTAAGTTTCTAATTTAAAGCATGTGGAATGGTTTTAATTTTGAGATATTTTATGCTGCAAATATGTTTCACATTTTCACAAGCGCTTTACTAATAGATTTTTAAAGTTTAAATGACAAATTATTGTGTTTACTATATTTTAGAATATTTCTCAACATTTCAAACTGTGTAAATTGAAATGAAAGTTCATTTTTACATGTTAGATATAATCAAGTGTGCAATAGAAGTACCAATTGTTTTGAAAATCTTACTCTTTATTTTTAACTCTTAAAAGAATATATCTTTTCACTTAAAATCTGTTGAGTCCTAATATGGCTCTGAATACATGTTTAAATTTCTAAATTTAGTATTTTTAAAGCTTACAAAAAAGACAGATAATGATAATTTTCAAATGGAGAAAGAGTACAAATTATGAATGCTTATAGATTAGATTTAATGCTGACAGTAACACAGTACTAGAAGAAAAAGAAGTACTTGATCAAAATGATACCCTACAAGAGTGCTACTAAGAACATATAAAAGAATATGCTCTGGAGACATATTCAGATAAGGTACCTTTTTAAAGTTGATATTGAATACAAACAAAAGGCTGTAGACTACTTAAAATAATGAGGTGAAAGCATCATATATAATTTTAATATACAGAAGTCATTAAAATAATTATTTAAATATTTCAATGAGACTATTTAGCTATTGCTTTTTTAACATTTAAGGGTAAGTCTAAGTAGGCCCATTTGAGGTGGAAGTGGTGAGGGAGAAAGTAAGACTAAGGGAAATGGTTCCTAAGATGTAGATAAAAGAAAGAAGTATCTATCTTCCCTTAGTTTAGTAACACTAGCACTTTCATTCCTATCCACTCCATCAGACAATGTCCTAACAAGTAATTGTAGAGATAGGCCTAGGGCCAAAAGGATGCCTGAAGTCCTCAGGGAGTTTAGACCCAGAGACCTGGTCCAGGGTCTGACTCCTCACAACACTCACTCATACCAGAGTTATGAGCCTGTACTTACAATTCTCAGACACTGAAATGATAACTTAAAAATGCTAAAAGAACACGTGTTAATACAGAATTCTATATCCAGCAAATATATCATTTCAAAAAAAGAGGTGAAATATAAGCATTTTCATGTACCATAACCATAGAATTAGTAACTAATAGACCCACAATAAGAGAATGTGAGGATGGTGCTGGACCAGATGGCATTTCAGCCTTGTGGACAGGGACCCTAGAGTTCTGAACCAACTCGATGGCAACAACAACAAGGAAATGCCTAAAATGTGTTTTTTAACCAAAGATAAATTATTTAGGTAGAAGGTTGGAGATGCAAAAAGGACTGAGGAGAAAGAACAGAGGTAAATGTTTGGGTAAATCTAAATCAATGGCTATCAAATTCAAATTTGATATTATTACTGTAGCATATATTCCATCTATCATGTATATTTTATTTCTCAAAGACTTGTTGATTGAGTCATACAAGCAATTAGAAGTCAATTTCAGAGGTAAATTATTAGTTGTCCTTAACTATAAAATTTTCTTGCTCTATTCTTATTCTAGAAATTGATTGGTGAAGATTAAACATGAAGTTGGCACCTTTGTTATCTTTCCTACTACTTGCTACTTTCCAAATAGACTTTGGACAAAATAAAGAAACTATTAGGAAACAAAGAATAAAGTATTACAGAAGATTAAAGGAAAATCCCCCACGTAACCATAGGTCCAATAAACAGTTTGGGGTACAGCAAACATCTACTGTTACACCAGTAGCAAGATTTCCTATTGTTAACGTTGGTTATAATGTGGAGGAAAGATCTGAATCATTTTTAAGTCTTCTTGGAGAAGAATCAAGTTACAGCGTGGTACCAGGTAAGAAAAATGTCTGAGAGCATGTGCGAGGAGAAAGAGACCCTCCAGGGACATAATAAAACCCCCACAAATACAAATTTTGGATTATATACTTCTATAAAGGTCTCTTTTAAAGTAATTTAAAGGACCATTTTTATAACAGTACAAATAATTGAAAACTACTGGAAAAAGAAATGCTTATCCTATGAAATCACAGTGTTTTACTAATAATATAAATCAAACTCACTTCCATGGAGTCATTCCAACTCAGCGATCCTTTAGGACAGGGTAGAACTGCCCCTGTGGGTTTCTAAAGGTGTAATTCTTTTTTTTTTTTTTTTCACCTGTTTTTTTTTTTTTTTTTTTTCTTTCTTTTTTAACATTTTATTAGGGGCTCATACAACTGTTATCCCAATCCATACACACATCAATTGTGTAAAGCGCATTTGTACATCGTTTCTCAAAACATTTTCTCTCCATTTAACCCCCCGACATTGGGTCCTAATTTTTCCCCTCCCTCCCCGCTCCCCACTCCCGCATGAACCCTTGATAGTTTATAAATGGGTATTTTGTCATATCTTGCCCTGTCCGACGTCTCCCTTCACCCACTTTTCGGTTGTCTGTTCCCCAGGGAGGAGGTCACACACAGTTCCATGTAATCGGTTCCCTCTTTCCTACCCATTCTCCCTTTACCCTCCCTGTTTTGCCACTCACACCACTGGTCCTATAGGGCTCATCCGTCCTGGATTCCCTGTATTTTCAGTTCCTATCTGTACCAGTGTACATCCTCTGGTCTAGCCAGTCTTGCAAGATAGAATTCGAGTCATGGTAGTGGGAGCGGGGAGGAAACCTTTAGGAACTAGAGGAAGGTTGTATTTCTCATCATTGTTACATCGCACCCTGACTGGCTCATCTCCTCCCCGAGACCCCTCTGCAAGGGGATCTCCAGTGGCCTACAAATGGGCTTTGGATCTCCACTCCGCACTCCCCCCATCATTCACTATGGTAAGATTTTTTGTTCTGATGATGCCTTAACACCTGATCCCTTCGACACCTGGTGATTGCATAGGCTGGTGTGCTTCCTCCATGTGGGCTTTGTTGAAAGGTGTAATTCTTTAGGGACTAGAAAGCCTCATCTTTCTCCCATAGAGCAGCTAGTGATTTCAAACTGCTGACCTTGCGGTTGGCAGCCTAATGGGTAACCACTACTCCACCAGGGCTCCCTAATTACCATATAAAGTACATATAATTTTTTTTATCACATATAACTTAAAAAACTGCTTTCTCATTCATAGGAAGTCTGGTGGTATAGTGGCTAGGCATTGGGCTATAAGCAGTTGGAAACCATCAGCTCCTCCATAAGAGAAAGCCAGGATTTCTGTTCCCATTAATTTACAATCTCACAAACTCAAAAGGGCAGTTCTACTCGGTCCTATAGGGTTGCTATGAGTTGGCATCCACTTGATGGCAGTGAGGTTTTCTTAAAAAATTATTATTTATAAGTACAGATCTAGAGAGAGAAATTATTTTATATGTGGGGGAGGGAGGAACAAAATGAGGAGCTGAAATTCAGGGCTCCAATAGGAAGAAAATGTTTTGAAAAGGATGATGGCAACATATGTACAAATGTACTTGACACAATGGACGTATGGATTGTTATAAGAACTGTAAGAGCCCCCCAATAAAATGATTTTTAAAAAATTATTTTATATGATTCCAAGGAGCTGTAGTTGTTGGCAGTGTGTTGGGCTGCTAATCTCAAGGTTCAAAACCACCAGCCATTTAAGAGAGAAAAATGAAGTTAACTTCAGTAAAGATTTAAAGCAGTACTGTCCAAAGTTGGATGCTGCTGCTCCTAGGGAGTGCTGGAAATACCCAGGGACTGGATTATGGACCATAGTACAAAAGTTTTATTTGACTGTGTTGTGCTCAGAATTTGCTTTCTGAAAAGGAAGGAGGCTGCAGGTCAAATAAATTTGGGGGAAAGTCTAGGAAAATCCATATTGGGCCACTATGAATCAGATTCATGTCAATGACAATGGGTTTGGTTTAGTTTTATGAGCACGTGGCTATTAAACATAACCTTTCATTTAAACTATCCTTGTAGTTTTCCCCCATCTTTCTTCTCCCCTCTTGTGGCCTATTCTCTCCAATTACAACTTACCTACTGGTCTTTTAATTTTCTTTTCGCTTTTCTAGGATTTATTTTCTGCTAAAAGTCTTTCTTTTGCTATATTAAGGCACCAGATGCATGAACTTGTGAGTATTCCTATTTCCAAGAGAGTTACAGAACATAGAAACTTTAACGCTAAGTTTAACATAGTGAGAGAACAGGAGAGGATGAGTTAGACTCAATACAAAAAAACTGAAACACTTTAAGTATGTTTAGATTTTATTCCATTACTTTAAACTTTAATTCTTACACTTTAAATTCTCATTTTTACATTCTTTTTATACTATTATTGCTATACATTTGGGTATATTATTAAATTATAAAAAATATTTTTGGTTATATTATTAAATAGTAAATTTATATATAACTCTGTTTCAGTTCATCAAAAATTAATAAACAACTATATTATTATCTGGCATTTTGCATTTATGCCTATAGTGAAATATCTATTATCTATTTTGCGTATTAACAACATATACCTGGCAGTAAGGAATATAAAGGTAAGAGGCAAGAGCAAAACTATGGTAATTAAAACTATCTGTCAACTTGGCTGGGCCATGACTCTCTGTGGTTTGGCAGTTATATAATGTGGCAATTACTTAAAGATGTAAGCCTCCTCTGTTTTGTGATCTTATAAGGTTATCATCTCTTTGTGCAAAATATTGATTTTTGCCTGATCTTTGACTTTATTTCTTATTCATACTGTAGAAATCAGACAACTTTATGACCAAAAATAGCATTAAAAGCACTTACCTTATTTCATATAGAATAAACTACAGATAGTTCTTTATTTATGATGGGGTTCTTGCGAAAAGAAATTAAAAATGTGGAGGTGGTATCTGACCTTCTCCAGTTATGCATGGTAGAAGGAAAATTAAATTCCACACCAGTAAACTCATGGTCTATTTCTATGAGGCTGGGACCAGAGATGCCTCCAATCTCCAACATCCCTAAATCATAACCTCGAATATCTGAAAGTAAACATTTGAGAATGAGAAACCAGACCAAAACAAATCAAATCCAGTTTTCTAGCTAATTCTTAATGGCCCCAAAGGAGTAAAACAGTCCCACAGGGTGCTTGAGACTGTCGAATTGGGGCAGGTGGTATGGAAGTAAACAGCCTCATCTTTCTCCCATGGAGTGGCTGATGGATACTGCCAGAGAATGACAGTGTTACTAAATTATCTAATGCGCTATATATAGTATAAAGTACAAATTACTAACAATTATATGTAACAAACAAAACAAAAACCAGACAGCTGAAAGTATGGTTCCTTAAAAACAAACAAAAAAGAAAGTATGGTTCCTTATAACTTGAATACACTATAAATCAGAGACCACATGCACTGAATGCACAAAGATTCTGTCAAAAATTCCAACTTGGCATTTTATTAAAAAGTACTATCTAATGGTCCATGTTTTTCCACTTTTGACAGAAATTTATATTATAAACATGTTATCATTAAGCAGTTTTTAAATGGACTGTTTCATCTTTCTTCTATAGATTAGCTAATGCCAACCTTTCAATTATCAGTCCAATACTTTGAAAGATAAAAGAAGGTATCACTGTAAAATATTATTACTAGTATTAATTTATGCTACAATTCTTAAATAGCATAATTTTATATTTATAAAAATAAAATACCATTGTATAATATCTAACATTTTCTCAATAACCAATGTCCTTTTAATAATATGACTTCCACTAAAAACAAAATGAATGTGGATACATCCTCTTGACTACTACGGTATCATGGCAGTTTGCTTTGAGATGAAGGCTGTTTGCAGAGTCCCTGAGTGATTACAGTGAATAGAGCTTCTGTATTCCCATCTTGGATATGAAGTGTGAATGAGAAATAAACTGAGTTTTAGGGGCTGTTTGTTGTATAACTTGTCTATCTTGAGCTATATAAGCAGTAAGTGAAATTCATAGACTCTAGATACCCTGAGGAGGTGAGTTTTGTAGCCTAAGTGGGAGAAGTGGAGTGGAGATGTATGTGAGAAACATTTCAGAGGGTTACACTCTGCTAGTCTGGGCTCTCTAGAGAAGGAAAACCAGTAACATATTTATTTACATAAATAATTATATATCAAGAAAGTGATTCACACAGATGTAAAAGCGGTTAAATCTAGTCCGATTCAAGTCGATGGGTCAGATGTTCAGCTGCAGGTTTTTCCTGACTCACATAGCTGCCAGGACTGATGAACCAGGAAGCAGAAAAACAAACTAGAAAGCAAGAAGACTTGGTAAGGTTAGCAAGTCAGGCTCATGGCTGCAGAGTCTAATAAGTCTAAGGTAGGCAGGCAATATGGCAGGTTGCTAATAATTCCCATGGCCGAAGAGCCATAGATACAGGATCTGGATCAGCAAGAAAGGGAGAAGGCTTCTCAGAGAGCCTGCTTAAGGCAGTTACCTAATTCAAGGGCTAGCACTACATCTTAATCTTCCTACAACTGCTTGGCTGTTTACGGGAAGCTCCCATCCTAGAGTTGAGCCCACTGTGTTAGATCACATCATGGAAGAGGCCTCAAGGGCCGAACTACTGAAAATGCTAGCTGCCTCAAATTGACAGAACTAACTATGAACATACAAAGAGCATTGTTGTTGCATTGTTATATCCACTAGATTTCATACTGTGCTAATTTCTATACACAATTGCTGAAGCCCATAGAAGGTACTTAATAGATAGTATCTGTGTTATTTGTACTGTTCTAGGGAAAAAGGGCACTGCTTAATCAAGGGGATAATCATGTACAACAAAGTTGTGTGATCTCCTGAGCCTTGTACTATCTGGCTCTGCTTGAAAGGAAGAGTGCTTTCTATGTAAGAAACCATGTGCCACCCTCATATGTGCCTCCAAACATTTATACCTGAAGGAGAACACTGTCCAGTCTGCTGTGATACTGGTATAGAAATTCACCTTAAACAAAATAGCACATGTAATAGCCTTTGTTTTATACCCTTCCCCCAACCTCCATCTTGACACTTTCGTAAGATTTAAATTTTGATACACTAGTCCAGGAAAATAGTTTTTGTTACAATATGGAAAAACACATAAAACATCTCAAGAAGTGTATGGTAAGGGATAATGATCTATCTATGTCAGACTCAGTGAACTTGGAGCAAATTACATTTCAGATTGTACCCTTTGAGTAATACAATATGTGCCAACTTTAGAGATGCAATAATAGCATTTTTTGGACAGCTAACGTTGTTGTTGCATACTGTTGAGTTGATTCAGACTCATAGTGACCAACCATATATGCCAGAACAGAACTGCATCTTTTGGGTTTCCTATGCTGTAATCTATATGAGAATTTGCAAGCTCTGTTCTCCCATAGAACCACTGTTGGATTTGAACCCCCTGATTTTATGCTGAGGGGGTTAGCTGCTGACTTTATGAGGGGGGTTAGTGGCTGAGTACTTACCCACTAAGCCACCAGGGCTCCTATGAACATTCATAGCTAGTGATGCATAAACATCTATAAATAACATTGCTAAGCTCTTATATGTGTTAGGGTCTCTGCCGAGTGCTTTACATGGATTATCCCACTTAACCCACCTCTATGTGTGAACCATCATTTTCTTCCATTTAGATACGTAGAATTCAAGGTAGGAGTGATTTCCATCCAATGAGAAATAAACCTAGTATGTCCCTAACCACTCAGGCAATTAAGGGTCATTATTTCTTGGATTGTCCAAGTATAATAAAGAAGCATGGTCCTGGAGCAGGGGTCTTTTGTAGCACTATGCACAAGAAGGTCATATCCTGCTGTCTTGTTGGTTATTCTCTAATCCTTATCAAATGATTACATGGAGCTAGGTCTACATTTTAGAAACATCTAAGGATTTTCTAAGAAAACATTAATCTGTGTCTTGTGAAAATAAATATTTGTTAAATCATTAATGATGAGAAATTATTCTACACACAAGATGGTTACAGGGTAGCTAGCTAGCTACAAAGAAAAACAATTACAATATTTAGTAATTGTATTATAGATTATACTACCAATTATTTCACCTAGGTATGTTTTTTTAAATGTTAGAAAATACAAATGTTTAATAAAACCGATTCTATGACACAAACAAAGCGTATAAGAAAATGTTCCTGGGTGTTCCAGTGGTGCAATCGGTTAACGAGCGGTACTTATAAGAAAATGTTCCGAAATTCTTAGAATATGGAATATTCTAAAATGATATTTATGAACAAGAAGCTTGGATACATAGGAAAAGTTTTAAATGTTTGAATATGACAATACTAATTTTCTTTGACTATTCTTTTTGTTTATTCTGATAGATATATGAAACTATAACTCCCATATTTTTTCTACTGAATCTCAAAAACATTTCTTCAAATAATTCTAATTTCTTTGGTGGACTATTTAATGTACAGTATTAAACAAAAGCTGAGAGATGGTAAAATAAATATGTAAATTTTAATAGAAGACAACTTAGGTAACTGTGAACTCAATTATCACTAGAATTTTTCAGTTGAAGGGTGAGTTTTAATTCCAGTATTTATCATGTCTAACCTACTTTCTGCCAAAAACAATGGCAACACATAGAAAGACTAACTCTCTACTGCTATCTATCTAACTCTGCACTGCTATCAGAGAATGATAAAAAAAAAAAGCATTCCCGTGCTTATATCTAAAATAAAACTCCAACACTAAGTTCACTAAATCTAAAGATTATCAATTTATCAATAATCCTAATTAAATACTATGTATTATAAATAAATATTTGCTTATATTATAATTTCATAATAAGTTTGATTATCATTTTAACACGTGGCAATATTATTCACACTTTGGTCATTCTTATTAACTTAGTAAAAATAAGTATTCAGACTCAGAAGCCAAAATAAAAAAGATAAAATAATCTATGAGATGCCAAAAACTATAAATAAAGATACTATTAAAACTTCAAGCAAAAGTTTCAAGACTTACTTCAGTTTTAAATTTTACTCAAATGCTCAGAGGGAACAATATTTACTTATGTTGTTTTCATTAATGTCCCCTTTATTAATATTTTGTTACCTCCTTTTGTACAGTGGTACAGCATTAAGTAATATAATTGAACTTTCTGATAACTCTTTAGAACAAAGAGAACCTATCATTTTATCTCATAAGCAACTACCATCTATTCATGTGGAAATGGATGAAGACTTAAGAAAAAAAGTGTCCCAATCTGAGGAAGAGGAGTATAAATTAATTAAAGAAGATGAGATGGAGAAAAAAAATAAAAACTTTGAACCCCAAGATCAAGAGAAACTGCAAAATGAGGAAGAGAGCAGAGAGAAAGAGCAAAATCAGACATCTCAAGAGGAGGAACAGGTATTTCAAAGATGGGAGGAGAAAGAAGATACTGTCGGAGTAAATGTTTACAGGATGTCTTCTCCATTTCCAATGGCTGATCCTCCTAGAGACATACTGTCTTTGCCAAGCAGGTGCTTTCTGTCATACAAGACCATAAGCTGCATAAATGCAGAGCTCACACAAATACCGCCAATAGTAGCATCAGGAATAACAAGTCTGGAGCTTGCTGGTAAGAAATATTGACTTCTGCCTTATTTTGTGCTTTCAAAGTAAATGATATCAGATGGTCCTAAGAATATTATATTTTAATTTCTTAATAATTAAAAAACCCTAAACAGACTAATTTAATGCTTTTAAAGCATATTAAGTTATTCAGAAGAAATGATAGGAATGTAAAACAGAATACATAAAATAAAAAAAAACCACTGCCATCGAGTGATTCTGACTCATAGCAACCTTATACAAGATTTCTGAGGCTTTGCAAATCTTTATGGATGAAAGCAGACAGGCTCTTCTTTCTCCCATGGAATGGCTAGTGAGTTTGAACAGTCAACCTTGTGGTTAGCAAACACTTGCCTGACTGTGGCTCTTTAAATACAGAATAGTTGGGCATAAAATAAATTGCTCCTAAAACAAACAAGCAAACAAACAAATAAATAAACAAATTGCTCCTAATCAAAGATTTGACTGTTTTGTTTTTTTTAAACTTTTTTTTGTTTTTATTTATTTATTTGACGGTTTGAACCCACAGCTGCTTTGGGGCATAAAAGCATGCTATCAGTCAGAATCTACTCAATGGCAATAAGTATGGCTTAGCTTTTGGTTTAGTGAAGTATAATTTGCAGAGTGAAACTCATTTTTAGTTAAATTAATTTCGATAAATGCATACAGTCATGGACCCACCACCATAACAACAACAAAAGGAGTATTTCCCCACCATCCCAAATTCCTTCACGTTCTTCACTAAAAATCTCTCACTTGTTTACTGTTCCTAGATTTGCTTTGTCCAAAATGTTATTCCATAGGCAGTACCTTTTCAGTCTGTGCTTCTTTTATTGGCATAGTGATTTGGAGACGGGCCCATGTTGTGTGTTCTCTTTTACTTCTGATTAGTGATCCCATTGCGTGGATGGATCATACTAACCAGGGGACACTGGGTTGTATTCAAGTTTGGCAAGATTACATAGAACATTCTTAAAAACATTCAAGTCCAGATGCCAGTGTAGACCCAGGTTTTTATTTCTTTAGGAATGGGATTATTGGATCATATGGTAGATGTTAAGTTTAACTATATAAAGAAACTGCCAGGCACCTCTCTAAAATAGCTATGCCTTCCTACCAGCCAGGTTTCTGCTATCCCATGGTCAACACTTGGTATTATTACTGATTTTCTCTTCATTTTAGCCATTCTCATGGGTATATACAATGGCTCAGACCTTTTGTCCATATTCTAATAAAGTCAATTGGAGGGTTCTAGGTGGAGAAATGTCAAGGTCAGATGTGTGCCCTAGGCTGGCTGGAGGGAAGGTTGGTCTCAATTGGATGAGCCAGGGCATTCATCTGGGTCTAAGGGACAATACTAAGTGGCTTGAGAATGTCTAAATGGGTTTTATGGGGGGCACATAATCCCTTTGCTCTTGAGCTCATCATAACTTTGGGGGAACAAACTAAAAGATTAGAATTTAGGTCCAAGGACTTGGACCTAATGGTAGAGGAATGGTAGAGGAATGGGTCCCATTTACTTTTTTCACCTCTACAATATATTACCAGTGAGACAAATACTTATTAGATAAGGCTCAACACTTCTAACCATAAACACCCTATTTGTGGACACTGCCAGTCTCAATTTAATGCCCTTTCTTTCTTTTTGATTATCTGGGTTTTTTCATTTTTTGTTTTTTGATCTTTTTAAAATCAGTGTAGCAACAATGAAACATCCAACTTTCCTCTAGTTCCTAAATGCTTCCTCCCACCCCACTATCATGATCCCAATTCTACCTTACAAATCTGGCTAGACCAGAGGATGTATTGTACACTGATACAGATAGGAACTGGAAACACAAGGAATCCAGGACAGATGATCCCTTCAGGACCAGAGCTGAGTGTGATGATACCAAGAGGGTGGAGGGAGGGTGGGGTGGAAAGGGGAACTGATTGTGAGGATCTGCATATAACCTCCTTTCTGGGGGACAGACAACAGAAACGTGGTATAGGGGGATGTCGGACAGTGTAAGACATGACAAAATAATAATAATTTATAAATTATCAAGGGTTTGTGAGGGAGGGTGAGAGGGGGAGGGAGGGGGAAAATGAGGCGCTGATACCAAGGGCTCAAGTAGAAAGAAAATGCTTTGAGAATGAGGTTGACAACAAATGTACAAGTGTGCTTGACACAATGGATGCATGTATGGATTGTGATAAGAGTTGTACAAGCCCCCAATAAAATGATTAACAAAATGCATACAGTCATGGACAAAAATAGCATAGTCCATGATCTATGAAATGTAAATGGGGAAATATGGAGCACTATAAAAATCAATTCTAGAGGAGCTGATATCAAGGGATCAAGTACAAAGAAAATGTATTGAAAATGATGATGGTTACATATATACAAATGTGCCCGACACAATGGATGTATGTATGGATTATGTTAAGAGCTGTAAGAGTCCCCAATAAAATAATTTTTTAAAAAATCAGCAAATATTTGCTGTGCAATACATATTACTAATGGACTACATACTGTTTTAAGCAGGAGGCTTTATCTAAAGTCTAAAACATGGTACACTAGAACACAGCAAGTCTCAGGCAGAAAATTGATTATGTATACCAACCTAGTCCCAGTTTGTTGTTTCTTTTAAACATGCAAAAAAAAAAATTATAATCCATATTCTGTACTTGTTTTAAGTATTGTCTTCTCCAACCAAAGCTCTGATTTTATATTTATGCACAAATGAGTGTAAGTATATGGGCATGTACTTAGAACAAATTGTTGCTTGTCCTAGGGAATTCCATCACTTCCATTCCTAATGAAGCATTTAATGGATTACCTAATTTGGAAAGGCTGGATCTGAGCAAAAATATTATCACTTCTTCAGGCATAGGTCCCAAAGCATTCAAGGTAAAAACATTATAGTCTGATTTGTGAATAACAATAGATTCTACCTGCTTTCCTTTCTTATGTTGGCCATAGATGGAGGTGGAAGAAAACATAAAATGACTATAGCTGATAGTTAACGAAAGTTTCTCTCTGATATACCCTAAACTATATGTAAGTTTTACCTTGAATACAATTTGTAATTCTACATGTTTCTAGCAGTTTTTCTTCACTTCATTCTTTAGAGTAACATCAATAGCATCAGTGGCATAAATAATGTTTTCAATTTATGGAGTAGCTTGTCTCCATGTAATTGAAAACATGTGGAAATAGGACTTCGTAATGCAGAAAGCAGTGCCTGGGAAGCAGGATAGCATATCGAAAAACGCTATTAACATTTTCAAGTCAGCAAGACAGCGCATCTTTATTTTTTGCACAACAGGCAAAATTTGATGCAAAATAATTTGCCTGGAAGGGGTTCTGGAAAATCAAATGGACCCAGATGAAAATTAGCATGAAGCTAAATCATGGAAGAAGAAAACAGAATAGAATAAATCTTGGAAAGAAACAGATTTGGCTAAAAACAAACATCAAAAAAGAAAGGAAAGAAATTTCAGAGTAACATAGAAGTGTGAAGCAGTTTGTGTGTACACAAGTACACATACATGCAATCTCTGTAAAAAGCCACACATAAAACACAACCAGGTCAAATTTTTATTTCCTTTAACAACCTTCTGGGTTTTCTGCCCACTCTTTGGATGAATTCCCGCCCCCTTTATTTATCTTCAGTTACTCTTTCTCTCTCCCATTTTAATGTTCAAAACACATTTATTTACTAAATAACTTTGAGGCTGACAGTACATACACTGATTTCAATAATCTGTTTAATGAAAAACTGGTATGCAATGTACGTGCATTTAGAACCTTACTAATCCACAACCCTTTCATACAGTTCCTCATGTTCATGTTGTCCCGACCCCCCAACCATAAAATTATTTTTGTTGCTACTTCATAACTGTAATTTTGCTACTGTTATAAATTGGGCGACCCCTGTGCAAGTGTCATTCGACACCCGCCCCAAAGGGGTCCCAACTCACAGGTTGAGAATCGCTGCATTAGAAAAAAGGTAAGTTGTATTTACAAGTTGAGGAACAAAGATGTTTCTCTCATTAAATGGAGGGGCTTTAGAGGTACATTCAATACTGAATTTATCTCTCTTTTCTTTTTCCTTCTACAAATTCTACAGTAGTAAGCTCCAGACACTAGGAAAGTCCTCCTTTTCTCGTTTTGGTATTTCCTGTGGTCTTATAAGAGCTCTGGTAGTATAGCGGTCTATTTGTTGGGCTGCTAACCTTAAGGCCAGTGGCTAATACACAACAGCCACTTCCTAAGAAAGGAGAGTTAAAGACTTCCAGCCTCTGAAATCCTAGGAGCAGTTCTAACCCGTCCTATGGGGATGCTCTGAGTAGAAACTGACTCCACAGCTGTGGGTTTTGGAGGGTTTGGGTCCTATTACAAAATAGTTTAAATTTCAATAGAGCATTAAATAGGAAACCATCCCCCACAGGGTTGCCCTAACACTGCCCAACTGCAGCTTTCCACTTTGCTGGTATAGGCTAGGCTGCTATGCAAGAAGCAGGTACACTTTACTCCAAACAACCATGACTATTTGGAAACCAACCATTTAAAATTGTTTGCAGTGTTTATTGTACTTAATTTTATAATTTTCCACAATAATTAGTGCTGTCTTATGAGATCATTCCTACTTCAAATAGGCAGGAAGCTGATATTTACAAATAATTTGAAAGGATTAAAAGACTGCTTAATTGTTAGCATTGATGTCAGATTATTATATGATTTAATTAATATGATATCTGTTCATATGTGTTAAGGTGTAAATCTAAGATCTAGCATGACTGATCTACTGGTTAAAGGCACTTCCTCTTGCTTATCATAAAATGTAGTTATAGTCTAGTCCATTTTACTAGGAGTATAAATATGGAGACTGTTTATGTGGCCCCGCATTACTGTCTAAACCTACATAAGTCAAAGTAGGTTTGTGAGACTTTTGATTTCAAACTAACCTTTAAATAAGATTTGTTTGTGAAGATTTGTGATCAGATAAGAGTAATTGAAATTTGATTTTTTTAAAGTGTCTGAAGAAGTTAATGCAGCTGAATATAGATGGAAACAACCTGATACAGATCCCTTCAGAATTGCCATCTACATTAGAAGAACTTAAAATTAATGCAAACAATCTCCAGGGTATCGGTGAAAAAAGTTTATCAGGTATTTCACATTTGAGTTTTCATTGTAAGTTTCCATGTAACCTTCCTTCTATAATTGTGTGGAAATTTTATGTATAATATTGTAAAAATCTATAAATGAATAGCTAGTAAATATTTTTATGCCATTTTATCATTAAAGTTGATAAAGCTTATTTTAACTGTTTACTATAGAACTTCTTAAAATAAAGACTGCTTATTGTCTTACAAAGAACCCTTATCATAAATACATAAAACTCTCAAAAGATTTTGGGTTATTACCATCTATAATATAATAACTGTATTATTATTAGCATGATATCCTAATAGTTACATTAAACAGTCCCTAAATAACCATGTGTTTAAATGTTGTATCTGTATTTATATGTGCTGGTTTTTGTTTTTGTTGTTTTTTTCCCCTTATGTGGTAACTAAGATAGTATCTTGATCATAAAAGGCACTTATGAAAATGAGTGGATTAAATCTCTTTTATCACTCTTAGCTCTACCTACAATTACCAAGATACTTTCAAATATTTTGTTCTAATTGTTCATAAGTTGAAGCCTAAAAGCAAGCACATGAAAATTACTTATAAAATATGAGCAAATAGGCATTAATACACAAGAGGCTGAGATGCTATCCTATAATAAAATGACATAAACTTAATGTATAAATATTAGATCCGTAGCATTGACTTGAACGTTTTCTTTGAGAGGACTTACTCTGGTATTCTAGAACTCTTCATCCTCTGCCACTGGGTCAATTCCAATTCACAGAGACCCTATAGGACAGGGTAGAACTGCACCTGTGGGTTTCTAAGATTTTATGAGAGTAGAAAGCCTTGTCTCTCTCCCACAGAGTGGCTAGCGGTTTGGAACTGCTGACCTTATGGTTAGCACCCAATGTTTAACCACTATGCCAATCTTATCCCAGTGAAAACACACACTATGTGCCAAGTATGAACAAATACATTTATATGTTCTACTATTACCATTGCCTGGCTGTCTGAGTAAACAGGCTCGAGTGAAAGTGCTTTTATGTTATGTACATTTGATATTGCTGGATTTGATTCTTTTTATGCTTGTTTCTTGTTCATGCTTTTCACTTATTTCTAGCCAATGTCTTTGATTAGATATAGATTTCCTTAAGACAAAGACTGGTTCTTTTTTTTTTTTTAACCTTCCTAAAAATCTAACACAAGAAGCCCTGGTAGCACTGTGAGTTAGGCATTGGGTTGCTAACCACACGATTGGTAGTTCTCCATCAAAAGCTCTAAGTGAGAAAGATGGTGCTGTCTGTTCCCATAAAGATTTACATTACCAGAAACCCAATATAGGGTCCCAATGAGGTGCAATCAACTCAGTGGCAATGGGTTTGGTTTTGGGTAACAGTGTAGCATAGCTCTTAGAATACAGTGTTCCACATTTTTTGTTTACTTGATTTGATATTTATTTTACTAATATGATAAATCAAGGCTGTCAAGAAACAAAACAACTCCATTATTTTCTTCTACTCCCCTTCCCCTAAATTCATAGGACTAAAGGAACTAATCACTATAGGTGATGGTAAAGAAGAGAAATAGTGAAACTTGCTAAATTTGAGAATCACATAGTTATGGAAATACTCAATTTCCAGATGGCTTTCAGAGTACATATGAAAAAGATGAATACACACAAATTTTGGAGAGCTTTGGCATATGGAAAAAACACTAGAAAATTCATTTTCTATATGCTAGGTTAAACAAAAAGGAAAAGGAAAAATTTTAAACAATTACACTATTGAGTTAAATATGAAGATCGATTATTCCTAGGTATATTACTAAAATAATCACAATAAAATATGAATACTTTACTTTGAAGGTACATCTGGAAATCCATAAACTGCCTCTCTATCCTCTCCTCAGCCCACTTTTCTCACATGTGTACATCCTACCAACCTAGCCTCCATTTACTTCCCACCTCTCCTATCTTCAAATGTCAAATACCACAGAGACTTCCACCCTGCCCAGTTTAGATGCCAGAAAGAAGGCATTGTCATCTAGCCTAAAAAACTCCCTTCTGTCAAACTGAGAGTTTTGTTTGGGTCCTCAATCCTGCTCTAGTGCTGGATTCTTAGTCCTTTAATGATGGTCTCTGAGGTGCCAGATTCTTAGTTTTGCCTGGCCTCTGACACGTGAAAGTCAGCAGTCAGTAAAGAAGGCCAGCCCAATCACAGATCACCACTCAGTACAACATCTCTGTCCTCTTCCTATGTAGAAATTCTTGGGTTAGCCTTTGTTATGCAGTTCCTCTTTTGTCTCTCATGTCAACTTTTTACTTAAGCCCTCTCAGATTGGTTATAGAGGTATGAAGAAGAGGCACATTCCAAGGAGAAAAAAAGCTACATATACAAACGAGTGCAAATTCAGAGGTGGAGGATAGTTAAGAGAAGGGTATGAAAGGGGAGTAGGAACCAGATGAGGATGAACTTTATGTGCTGCACTAAGGGGAAATCTATCCAGTAGGAGATGCATAATCCACCAAAGACCTTTAGGCAAGAGAGAAATTGCATGAAATTTTCATATCTAGTGAGGAAAAAGGACACAAAAGGTAAAAGTGAGGGAAAACAGAGAAAATTGAACAAGCTTCAAAAGTTAATGCCTTCACTAAAGGCTGATACAATAAAAAAGGCAGGTCTCTCTAGCAATGATTATATGTTGCTGTCCAGTAAGAATATAGGTTTGTGCCTGCATAATAGCACCTGTTCTGGCAATGTTAAATACATTTATGCCCATAGGGTGAGGAAGTGGAGCTTTCTTGGAGAGGTACTAGGAATGAGGGAGCGGGTGTTAGTGTTAAGTTTGTGGCACTAACTTACACAGAGCTCTGCTTCAGAATGGCTGGTGCCGCTCTCCAAGTACCTTGCAAAGCAGCCTGATGAGTTGGTTTATGCAGAGAGACCCTGGGCTTTGTTAGGTGCCATTGAGTCAGTTCTAACTCTTATCAACCCTATAAACAACAACCCTATAAAGAACAAAACAATGCCTGGTTGCACCATTCTCACATTTGTTCTTTTGTTGGAGCCCACTGATAAAACCAATGTGTTAATCCATCTTGTTAGGAGTCTTCCTCTTTTTCAATGGCCTTCTATTTTACCAAGCATCATGTCCTTTTCCAAGGACCATCTCTCCTAATTATGTCTAAAGTATGTGAGATCAAGTCTCACCATCTGGTTTCTATGGAGCATTCTGGCTGTACGTCTGTTTCTTTTGGTATTGCACAGTACTTTGACTATTCTTTACCAGCATCATAATTAAAATGCATTGATTTTTCTTCAGTCTCCCTTGTTCAATATCCAAATTTCACATGCATATAAGGCAAAGGAAAATACCATGACTTGAGTCATAAGTCAGCATTGACTCAACGGAAGCAAGTTTGGTTTTTGGTTTGAGTCCTCAAAGTGACATCCTTGCTCTTAGCCACTTTAAAAAAAAATCATTTTATTAGGGGCTCTTACAGCTCTTATAACAATCCATACATAGATACATTGTGTCAAGCACATTTGGATATGTTGCCATGATATATTTTCTTTCTACTTGACTCCTTGTATCAGCTCATTTCCCCCCTCCCCTACCCCACCTCCATCATGAATCCTTGAAAATTTATACCTTTTTTTTTTCATGTCTTACACCGACCACTGTCTCCCTTCACCCACTTTTCTGTTGTTCATCCCACTGGGAGGGGGTTATATGTAAATCATTGTGATGAGTTCCCTCTTCTCCCCCCAATTTCCCCCTCTCCTCCTGGTATTGCTACTCTCAATATTGGTCCTGAGGGGTTTGTTTATCTGTCCTGGATTCCCTGGATTCTTAGTTTTGCCTGGCCTCTGACAAGTGAAAGTCAGCAGTCAGTAAAGAAGGCCAGCCCAATCACAGATCACCACTCAGTGCAACATCTCTGTCCAGCTCTTATCTGTACTAGTGTACATCCTTTGGTCTAGCCAGATTTGTAAGGTAGAATTAGGGTGATGACAGTGGGAGTGAGGAGGAAGCATTCAAGAACTAGAGGAAAGTTGTATGTTTCATTGGTGCTGTACTGACCCTGATTGGCTCATCTCTTCCTTGTGACTCTTCTGTAAGGGGATGTCCAATTGTCTACAGATGGGCTTTGGGTCTCCACTCTGCCCTCCCCCACAATCACATTGATATGATTTTTTGTTCTGGGTCTTTGATGCCTGATACCTGATCCCATTGACACTTCATGATCACACAGGCTGGTGTGCTTTGTTGCTTCCCAGCTAGATGGTTGTTTGTTTATCTTCAAGCCTTTAAGACCCCAGATGCTATATCTTTTTTTTTTGATGCTACATCTTTTGATAATCGGGCATCATCAGCTCTCTTCACCACATTTGCTTATGAACCCATTTTGTGGGGAATGTGAGCATCACAGAATGCCGGGTTATCAGAACAAAGTGTTCTTGCATTGAGGGAGTACTTGAGTAGTTAATACTTAACATATAAATATAAGTACATAGAACTATTTCCCTAGTGTTATATATAAATATATTTACTTATGTACATGCCTGTATTTAGACCTCTTTGAATGCCCTTTGCCTCCTACTTGTTTCCTCTATTTCTTTTTACTTTCCTCTTGTTCGACTATCATGTTCAGCCTTCATTTGGGTTTCAGTAATTCCTCTCGGCTACATTGCCCTTGATCAAGCCCCACCAGGCATGCTACACCCTCCTTACCATTGATTTTAGATCACTTGTTGTTCCCTTGTCTCTGGGTTTGCTGACACCCCTCTTCCTTTCCCTTGCCTCCCCCACTCCCTTGTCCCCCCAGAACCGTCAGTTGCATTGTTTTCTCCTCTGGATTGTTCATCCCGCCTATCTTATCTAGATAGGCATGCAGGGACATAATAAGCACAAAAACAAGACCAAGCAAATCAGAACAACAACAAGAAACAACCAATGACAAAAAAAGAAAAGTCTATAAATAGCTCCAGGTCGGCCCTAAAGTTTATTTTTGGTATTCCCCGGGGACTTCATTGCTTTGCTCCCCTTGCTGTTCTGTTGCACACCCTTAGTGTTTCACCCTGATATGGTGGAGTCAGATCGGGCACAATTCCCACACTGTCTCCAGTGATGTCCCTCATAGTGCTATGGGCCAGTGAGGGACGTGTTTCGTGTTTCGTGGTGGGGATGGCTCTATGGTCTTCTCTGTGTATAGGCTGCTCTGAGCAGAAATACTGTGCTCGGGGCTTGGTGGACCAGGATGCTTTCCACTCTCTCCTTCCCTCTTCGTTTGCTCCTGTGTGCTCTGATCAGATGAACCCCTTCCCCTGAGCTGTAGCTTCAGTGCTGTCCTCTGTAGTGCATTCTTTGGTAAGGGGTGGGGTGGGGGGGCAGGGGCAGTGTCCATGTAGTTGGGATTGGGGCCAGCCCCACAGATCCTCTATTAGTTCACTGCTTCATGCTAGTATGTTGCATTCACGTCTTGGCGCACCAGGTTGAAGTCTGGTCCCTCTCTCCCTCTCCTGTGGAGATATAAACAACACCCTCCCTTTGGGTGGGTGAGTGCCCTGTTCCCATGCTACCCATGTCTTTTTTTTCCCTCTTTCTTTTTCCTTCCTTTTTAGTTGGCTACCATATGTACCCCTGGATTGGGTCTGGCCCCTGCCATAGTACCTGGACTTCACTCCCATGCCCCCTTTTTACTTTTAAGCTTACCTCAGCGTACTCATGTTGTACTTGTCCTTTAGTGCTTTCTTTACTTCACTTAGCATAATTTCCGCTAATTCTTCCCATGCAGCGATGTGCTTCATGTGCTCATCACTGCTTTTTAGGGATGTGTAGTACTACTCCATTGTATGTATGTACCACAGTTTTTTAATCCATTCACCCTTTGATAGAAATTTGGGTTGTTTCCAATGCCTTGCGATTGTGAACTGTGCCACAATGAATATTGGAGCACAGATGTCTGGCTGTGGTTTGTTTCTTGCCACTTCTGGTAATATGCCCAGTAGGGGGATTGCTGGGAAGTATGGTAGCTTGATTTCCATCTGTTTTAGATATCGCCAAATCAATTTCCATAATGGCTGTACATTTCTTCCTTTATTTATTTTTCTAAATAAATTTTAGTTTATTGACACATATCATACAATTAAATAGTTTAAATATATTAAAAAGAATTGTTCTGTCATCACCACAATCAACTTTAAGCCATTTTTCAATCTTATACCAATTATTACTAACTCCCCGTTACCCTCAATTTCCCCTGCCGTAACCCTAAGGAACTATTAATATAATTACTGTCTCTATGGATTTACTTATCCTGGATTTCATATAAAGGAAATCACACACACACACACACAAAAAAAACAACCAAACTCAACAACAACAACAAAATAAAATACAAAGAAACATCAAACCAAGAAAAAGCAGAAGTTAATAGAAACTAGATCAAATTAAAATGCTCAAAAGGGAAAACAAGTGATAATATGCTAAGTTTTAACGTGACTCTATCTGCAGTTACCGACTTTATAGTGCACCCCATACTGCAATATGAGGTTTGAATTTTTTTCTTCAGTGTTTTCTGCTTGAGTTTTGCTGAGTGTGCTCTTCCTTTTTGGTTTCTTACCTCCAGGTCTTTGCACATTTCAAGCTGCCCTTCGACATTTATCACTTTGTGCTTCCTATTCTGACCAGGCATCCTAAGGGCTGCTCAGAGGGTGCTGAATACCCAGTCAGGCGACTGTAGGTGCAAGTTTGAAAACCCTGAAGATCTGAGTACTAACAGAGAGCCAGAGTAGCTAGCAAGGGGTTACTTTGATATATACTGACTGAACATATGCAAACATATGAACTATACATAATATGGTGTTCACAAAACATCCAGATCATATTATGTCCTATTTCACAGAGTATATTGTGGATAATGAGCAAAGCACATGTTTATATGATTAGAGTTCTTATACTTGTCTATCAACACTCACAAAGTTGCTCATGTTATTCCCTACCCCCCACAAATGAAATGACCTCCTGTCTGTTTCCTGCTAATGAGTCATTCTTTCAACATCTACCTCATGTCTACCTTACAAGTAACTTCCTCTCACACCACACTCGTTTCTGTTACCTTACGTTGTCTACACATATTAATTCCAGAGAATAATTGTGAAGATAGATAATGTCATGGATTTGTATTATGTGTGTTGTTTTTCATTCTTCTGAGGTCTTGTAATGATGACTAATCAATCCTCTTATGTGTTTTTAAATGGAAAATTCTATTGCCATTCAACACTTCTACTTATATATAAGCACATTGAATTCTCAATACTTTCAGTTTGGAAACCTAAAAGAATACAAAGAAAATAGAGGCACTTATACAAGTTTTTCTAGCTGGCCTCCCTGCTTCCTATCTTTTAGCCTTTCAATGCTAAATTCAACTACCAGATTTATCTTTAAAATTTATCATTGGCCATATCACTTGCCTACTCAAACTTTCAGAAATTACTTGGACTACCTAGAGACAAAAGTCAAACTTGGATGCCGAGAGTACAATAGGGCTCCACAGTTCATTTCAAAACTAAGAACCCAAACTGCTCTCTAGGTTTGATCTCTTTTCTCCCTGCTGAGCACAACCATGTGGGCTTGCTCATAACCTTCATGTGCTCATTTTGCTGTTTCAGTCTTGAATTTCTTTTCACTTTTGTCTAAACCTATCCTTAAGGGCACAGTTCCAGTCCCACTTCCATTACTTTTTCTCCAACTACTCATATCGACACTGCAATCCCCTCTTTGAATCTTTCTGCATTATGCTCTTACTTCTCTAATTGGACTCTAATGAGGAGTTGAGTTGCACATAGTGCAATTTCTGCAACTTTTACTTAGATAGAAAACCAGTGCCTATCCTTGGAATCATGGTCACTGAGTAAAACACAAAGTCATATCCTGAAAGATATGAATTAGATGTCTCTGGATATCATCACTGCTAGACTGTTCATTTTTGTTTGAGCTTTCAATTAATCTGGTGCATAGCATTCCTGAGGCCAATAGACAAATTTCAACATGTTTGTACAAAATGCCTTTTTTAGTAGCTCAGCTAAATGTATGGAGGATTTCTAATTGTCTTCCTTTCAAAACTTTCATTTGGCTGTCCTCTATGCTGATACAATAATGACTGCAACGAGAATTGATTGTTCTGCTTTATTTTTCACACACTTCTTGTGTCTCTCCTAACTTCATATGACCAAAATTTAAAAATATCTACATAGTTATACTCGCTATCTTGTTTCTGCTCTTTATGTATACTTTATCTCTACGATTATTCCTTTACAGACCAGCCTTTCCACCGCACATTCAGTCTTAGCTCACTGTCTATAAGATGTACAAAGTACTTGGAAAAAGCACTCTGGAAAGTTTGGAAAAATCCCTCTCTGTAGCGAAATACAAAGAAGAGACAATATCTGCCTTCTACATAAGCTGAATATTTATAATGGCATTTTGAAAAGTTATAGAAATTACTTGTTACTTCATTTATCCTAATATTTCAATAATTTTATTTTTATAGACTTACGTCAGCTGGTCACCTTAGAATTGGAAGAAAACAGTCTCAGTGAAACTAGTGTCAATCCTTTAGCTTTCAAACATTTGAAGAGCCTATCCTACCTTCGCCTAGGAAAAAATAAATTTAGAATTATACCACAGTGCCTTCCTGCTTCTATTGAGGTATCTCATTTTTTGTGTTTTGTACTTTAAATCAGTATAGTAGAATAATATAAGCAAATAATATATTTTAAAATACTATTATGATACATATAAAATCCACAGTATATTAGTGCCAACATCAGAATTTAGTACAATCTGAGCATTATTTCCTCTTCAACCAATACAGTTAATAAAACTTATAAGACTAATGGCATGGGGTAGGATTGGGGTACAGGGGAGTCCTGCTGACCGCTCTTAGGGAGAATGGGAAAGGAGAACTGAGAATTAAAATAGAAACAATTTATAAAAAGTACCTAGACTCATAAGACAGTTACTAAACTGTACCACAGCACACTCATGATTTTTATCACTAACTAGGATTACATTTTTAAAAAGTACTAGTTTGTCCAGAAGAGCCCTGGTGGTGTAGTGATTATACGTTAGCCTGCTAAGAGCAAGGTTATCAGATGACCACTAGCCACCCTGTAGAAGAAAGATGAGGCTTTCTACTCTCTTACAGAGTTTTAGTTCTGGAAATCCACATAGGCAGTTATACTCCATCCTGTAGAGTAAGAGTCAGAATCAACTCGATGGTAGGAAGTTTGGGTGTTTTTAGTTTGTGCAGGCCTATATGATGCAATGTAAAACCACAGACAAATTGATTACACAGAAACAATGGAATGCACTTCTTAAAACAAGCACAGTAATTGGTAGGTAGGTGGCAACACCTTGCGGGGTTGTGACTATGTTCTCCAGGAGGCTGTATATGCTCTAAATCAACATTAAATATATAGTGCTGTTTCTTCAATAGCCAGGTTTTATGGATCCAGGAACAAAAGAAGTGAAAATGGGAGTGACACCACTCATTATTATTCTTAATGACCCACTCCCAACATCATTATTTCCTGTCCCTACATCCTATGCTCTCACAGTTTGGAGGTCTAAGTTAAAACTAGAGGACATAGTACTGATTCCATTTAAATGGAAGTTAAGATTGCTACCTGGCCATTTTGGCTACCTCATGCCCCAGAATCCCAACACTTATCTATCAGTTTGTTGTACTGTGGTGGCTTTTGTGTTGCTGTAATGCTGGAAGCTTTGTCACTGGTATTTCAAATGCCAGCAGGGTCACTCAAAGTGAACAGGTTTCAGTGGAGCATAGACACTAACTCAGTCTACAGAGACGAAATCAGCTGCCCACTTTGGAGGAAGAAGCTCTGGAAAACCTTATGCATAGTATGGACCCATGTCTGATACTGAAGGCCTAATGAATGGAAGCAAAACATTGTCTGAAATAGTGCCAGTGGTGGGCTCCTGGAGTCAGAAGGCATTCAAAATGTGACTGATGAGGAGCTGTATTCTCAAAGTAGAATTGACCATGGTGACTTGAATAAAGTGGAACCTTAGGAAACTTCATTAGCTGATGGGCACAGCTCAAGGTAAGAAGAAACAGGTGCAAAAACATACTAATAATAGAAACTTGGATTGCAGGAAGTATGTATTGAGGAAATTTGGAAGTTATGCAAAAGGAAATAGAATACATAAAGATAGATATCCTAGGCATTAATGACCTGAAATGGTCAGTTATTGGCCATTCTGAATTAGAAGTTCTATGGTTTATTATATTGGGGATGACACAATCAAGAAGAATGGTGGTGTATTCATTTTCAAAAAGGACATTTCAAGATCTACTTGTGATAGAATTATATATACCCAAATTCAAGGTCATCCAAAAAATACAACTATTCAAATTTATGCACCAATAACAAACTCTAGTGATGAAGAAGGTAAAGAATTCTACCAATATCTTCAGTAGGAAATTGATCGAGAATGCAATCAAGATACATTGGCTATTGGAATGTAAAAGTTGGAAACAAAGAGGAAAGAATTGGAAAATATGGTCTCGGTGACAGAAAACGAAACTGGAGACCACGTGATATAATTTTGTAAGACCAACAACTTATTCATAGCAAATACCTTTTTCCAACACAAATGGCAACTATAAGCATGGACTTCTCCAGATGGAATGCACAGGGTACACACTTGGGAAGAGATGCTGGAGAAGCGTACTATCAGCAGTTAAAACAGGCCACAGGATGATTGTGGAACAGACCATAAACTTCCCATATGTAACTTCAGGATAAAGCTGAAGAAATTAAGACAGATCTTTGAGAGCCAAAATGTGAACCTGGGTCGATCCCACCTGAATTTGAGAACATGTCAAGAACTGATTTAATGCATTGAACACTAATACAGAAGACCTGTTGAGCTGTGGGAGGGTGTCAAGAACATCATTCATGAAGAATGTTGTTAAAAAGACTGGAAAGAAAGCAAAGCTCAACAGTGGATGTCAGAAGAGACTAAAATTCACTCTTAATCATAGAATAGCTATGGTAAATGGAAGAAATAATAAAGTTAGAGAGCTGAATAGAAAATTTCAACCCCGAACCAAAAAAATCATATCACTGTGAATGAGGGGCGGTGCAGAATGAAGACCCAAAATCCATCTGTAGACGATTGGAAATCCCCTTACAAAAGAGTCACAAGGAAAAGACGAGCCAGTCAGGGTGCAGTATAGTACGGATGAAACATACAACTTTTCTGTAGTTCTTAAATGCTTCCTCCCCCCACTATCATGATCCCAATTCTACCTTACAAATCTGGCTAGACCAGAGGATGTACACTGGTACAGATAGGAACTGGAAACACAG